TGGGCAAGAATCAATTCTTGTCCATGAGTAACTCATACAAGACGCAATTCAAGCTATAGCTTAGTTGAGGCATTTTCTATAACCTTCCATTTGGGACCAAATAATCGAATCCCAAATACCTAGAAGCATTCACACAAAGCTCTGTGACATTTTCTGCAGTATTGGTCTGAATACGTTCTAGGAATTCTTCTCCAACGTTACCGAAAATAATAAAGATGTGGAAGACACTGTAGATGCTTATATTGGAAGTATGCTGACACTTTTTGAAAACCCTCACTATGCCAACGTGTTTGGAACACATCTGTCAGATGTCAATAGCACCGATAAGGATATCTGGACATTTCCAGCTGCTGTCGTTTACTACAACCACAATTATTCCAATTGGTTAGTTCTTCACTATTTTTTGCGTAAAATTTCGAAGGACTGTATTCAAGGTTACGGTGACGTCTGCCCAGCTTTAGAATTGGGAAGGCTGCTACTAGTTATCTATGGAATGATTGGCATACCACTTGCTCTGGTGACCATGGCAGGTACCGGTAAATATATTAGCCAAGGTGTAACCAGATGGTTGGAGGATGTGAGCAAAGCTAGAATAAAAAAAATTTTGGGACTGAAGATCCCTTGTTTAATGGGATCCCAAACCAACCAAAAAACAACTTTTGTATGGAGGGATTCGCACGCTTCGCATTCAACAATTTTGAGACATCTAAAAATCTCATTTAATGTTTGAAAAGAAGGCGGAAGTTTAATATTTGAATTCATAAAGATTCTAGTTTTCTGAGTTGTTTAAGGGACCTTCAACGTACCAAGTGGACTGTTTCTATCAAATTTATGCGTATACATGTCGTTGATGGCATGCTATTTCACCGCTGCGTAGACTTACTCGCGATGCTATAAATTTTAGTTTTACCTCAATATTCACCATTGAAATCGGTGATTTGATGGTGAGTCAAAATTTTTTCTCTCAGATCTTCTATAGGTGACACATTGTGTAAGTTTTCGATATTAGCTTTTTTAGCCTAGCATAAATGTGATGTACCTTGTCGTGTTTATTGTTTTTGGAGT